ACTTCCGTAGTGATACTGCCTCAGAAACCCAAGGAGGGGTCGCTATGAGTTGGGTCCGACTCGACGGCACATAACAACAACAACAATAATGTAAGAGAATAAATCCCTGTTTCTTCAAACCATCCCACTTGTGGTATTTTCTGTTAGTGCAGCACTAGATAACCAAAACACAACTTTATAACTTTTTATATTTTAAATGGGAAAACAAAAATTGTGGCTAATCAAGAGCTGAAGACCAGAAACAGCACACCCAAAGAGAAAAAAACTGGTAGCTAGATCCAAAGGTGGAAGCCAAATTGACTTAAATTGTATGTGCGTCTGGGAGTTGAAGGATATCTTATATCAAGATATAAGAGAAATGTATTTTTTTACTAATATCTCAAGCTGCACCTGTTTGATGTTTTATTCTGGACTTTATCTAGGACTTAAGCTACAGTTTCCAGAACTGTGAGATGAAAAAGCCTGTTCTGATCTAATCGACAAACTAGCAATTATATGTATGAATTGATCATATTTACCTGCTTTTCTCCAATTTGGACAAGCCATTTGCAAAATTCCTCAATGGTTGTTACTGTTTCACAATCCTCTGAGCCCAATGTCGCTTGGTATGCAGTGATACTTTTTATAAAATATAGTTCAACAGCATCTACAAATAAAGGGAGACAATTATTTAAGGCAAGCTGCTAGCCAGTGCAAGTGTCTACCATCAGCATTGGTTCAATCAGACATTTTCATGCGTAAAGTCAGTGCCTGTGCTCAGTCCAGGCCTCATAAAGCTGTTGCTGCTAGTACCAAAACACCAAACCAAACTCACTGCGGTGGAGTCAGATTTCACTCATAGTGATCCCTACCGCTGCTATGAGGTGCCATCAACTCGATTTTGACTCAGTAGTGATCCTTTGTGACAGGGTAGAACTGCCTTATAGGGTTTTCTAAGCTATTCTTTACAGGAATGTATCACTAGGTTTGTTTTTTTTTTTCTCGCAGAGCCACTAGGTGGGTCCCAACGGCCAACTTTTCCATTAGCAGCTGGGTATTTAACCATGAGCCACCAAAGCTTCTTCCAGGTTTGATCCAAACCTGTTGCCATTGAGTCAATTGCGACTCACAGTGACCCTTTAAGACAGAGTAGAATTACCCCATATGG